CATTATAGTTGGACTTTAGTCTTATAAATGGTCTGTCAACAAACTCACAATGACTTTCAGGAAGAAGTTGTTTCAAAAGCAACATCAACTGGAGTTTAATCTCCGTTAATCCTACATAAATATGACATGCTGTAATAGCCTAATAAAAACTTTTAGGATATATACTTTAGTTTTTTCAAAAATATATATATTTTTATGTGGGCTTATTTGTTAGAAGTAGCTTGACGAAGTGCAATCAAACAATGCATAATAAACAAATATTTGAAAACATTTCACATGTTCAACTTGAGATACACCTGCCAAGAACTTTTACCTTGCACAGAGACTATGGAGCCAAATGGACCAGCGGTAATCATTGTTTAAAGGATGAAATGTAAGTTTGCAAGCACTTTTTATTATTGAACTCCTAGTTACATGACAAGGACCAACCACAGTTTGCATCTGTGCAGCAATACAGAAACTCAACTTTTATTTTTATAAACCCAACCGAAAAGGTGGCCTCCTTCTTTGTCTCAAAGAGAGGTGCAGTGAACTTTGCCTTTGGTATTTAATATTTTAAAAGATTACAGCTTTTTTCAAATTTGGTGACCACCTATTTTATCAAAGAAGCGAGGAGGTGCCAGGCAAATTTTCATTTTGATTTTATATTTGTTTCAATAATCACAGCAAGTTACAAATTGGAACTTGGAATAGTTTGTTTAAACAAGAACTTGAAAAGTGTTAGTCAAAATGTTTTAAAAATCCTGGAAAGAAAGTGAAAGTGGAGGTTTCCTTGTTACAACCATTATTAATGAACTGTACATCACTGTAATAGCTTATAATTAGTGTGATCTTCATGGGGGGTCCTGTTCAGGTGAACTCCGAGTTCTACACTGGCTGGCTGGATCACTGGGGTTCCCCTCACTCAACAACAGACATGAGATCAGTGGCCAAGAGTCTGGACCTGCTCCTGGACTATGGTGCCAACATCAACATGTGAGTTTGAATAAGATGTCACTGGTACCATCTTGCTGGGATTATTTAGCTTGTTAACAAGTGCTTCAGATTGTTAGGAGATGTGATTGTCAACAACTACTTCTTCTGTAACTGACATAGTTATACATTATACTGGGACTATCAACTTGTGTTTTAGATCTGATAATACCTTTGTGAATACAGCTGATTAATGGTAATGCCACCAGATCAGTTTATGTATAGCATACCAGTCTGAGACCCAGTGAGCGTTTGGAGAGCCAAATTGCTTAGTTCATACAGCCCTATCACAGCATTGAGGCAAGAACATTGGCCCAGATAATACCAGCATTTCTTACTTCCTCAGGTACATGTTTGAAGGAGGCACCAACTTTGCTTACTGGAATGGTGGCCGTATATTTCCTTTTTCATTGAGTCATGTGTTTCCAGACTGGAGGCAGGCATTTACTAATGTTTATCATGTTCCAGAATTAGAAATAAGTAAATACTATAAAGTAAAATTCTTTCTAAAGGCTAATTGACTAGACTTCCATATGATATCAGCAGCTACAACTTTGTTTCTGATGTGGCATAAATAGCCCCCTGTTGATTGTTGAAAGTGAAACATGGGTGTTGCATGGGTGATCTGGGTTGCTTGTAGTTGCCAATGCCCCTCCTTACCAGCCTGTACCAACCAGCTATGACTATGACTCCCCCTCTTAATGAGACCCGGCTGACATCACAGAAAATCCCATTTGCCATAAGGCAGGTCATATCAAAGGTAAATATTATAACACCGGTAGATCAGATGAATTATATGTTTACTATAGGTTCACCTCAACTGCTATGTCTCGGATAGGTTGGAGTCATTGGTAGATCAAACTGTAATGGTTAACTTGAAGCCTTCATTCAAAGTGCTAAATGTAATAATTATACAAAGGCAACAAAAAGGGACTTTTCCTGACACATATGTTATAAGCTTAATCCCAGATAAATCCCAACGATGGGTCTTTAATGAACATGTTCTGTCATTAAAGTCCACCATAACTCCCACATACTGTACAAGAAGAGATTGTGTGACACATGGTGTTACCTTAATGTACACATCTGTGTGACTCCAGTGTACGCTTATAGTTACAAGAGACATCATCTGATGTACACCTTGAGTGGCTCAGGATGGTGTACACATTTAATGGTTACAGAGACATCTGTGTGACCGCGTCGCGGTTACATGACATCTGTTGACTCCTGGCGGTTACAGAGACATGTCTCATGGTGTACAAACTGTTCTGCGATGAATCTGTGTACGTTTACACATAATGGTTACAGAGACATCTGTGTGACACATGGAGTGTACACACTTAATGGTTACACAGAGATGTCTGTGTGACTCATGATGTACACATCTGTGTGAGTGGTTAAGCAGTTACAGAGATGTGACTCTGATGTACACTTAGCGGTTACTGAACTTGTCTATTAAATTGTACACACTTAATGGTTACAAAGACATCTATGTGACTCATGATGTACATTGTGGACACAAGAGACATCCATTGTGATGCACATTGCCTGTGTTACAGAGATGTATGTTACATGGAGTACATCCTAGTTACAGAGACATCTGTGTGACTCATGAATTGTACACGCCAATGGTTACAGAGATGTCTATTGAGCTCATGATGTACCTGGTAGTTACAGAGATGTCTGTGTGACTTATGAGTGTTACGCTTAATGGTTACAAAAAGAAATTATACACCATTAGCGTTGACATGACTCTATGATGTACACACTTAGTGGTTGAAATGTCTGTGTGACTTATAATTATTACTTAAGAGACATCTGTGTGACATGGTGATACACTTATGGTGTACAATTACATGGTGCGGTTACAGACATGTCTGTTGTGACTCATAGTGTACATAATGGTTTACAAGAGACATCTGTGTGACTCATGGTGCCACCCCACTTAATAGTTACAGAGACATCCTGTGTGACTCATGATGTACACCTTAATGGTTACAGAGACATCTGTGTGACACATAGTGTACACACTTAATGGTTACAGAGATGTCTGTGTGACTCATGATAGTGCACACTTAATGAGTTACAAAAGAAATCTGTGTGACACATGGTGTACACACTTAGTGGTTACAGAGACATCTGTGTGATACATGGTGTACCACGGCGGTTTGCAGATATGTCTGTGTGACTTATGGTGTACACTTAATGGTTACAGAGACATCCTGTGTGACTCATGGTGTACACACTTAATGGTTACAGAGACATCTGTGTGACTCATGATGTACACACTTAGTGGTTACAGAGATGTCTGTGTGACTTATGAATGTACACTTAATGGTTACAAAGACATCTGTGTGACACATAGGTATACACTGCGTAAGCGGTTACATAGACATCTGTGTGACTCATGATGTACACACTTAGCGGTCACTGAGACATCTGTGGCTGACTCATGGTGTACAAACTTAATGGTTCACGGAGACATCTGTGTGACACATGTACACATAATGGTTACAGAGACATCTTTGTGACTCATAGTGTACACACTTTATGGAATTAGAAACATCTGTGTGATACATGGTGTACACACATGGTGGTTACTGAAATATCTATTGTGACTCATGGTTTACACACTTAATGGATTTACAGAGACATCTGTGACTCATAGGTGTACATACTAAGCAGTTACAGAGACATTTGTGTGACTCATGATGTACACCTTAGCGGTTACTGGGAGACATCTGTGTGACTATCTCACCAGTAAGCTTACAGCGACATCTGTGTGATCGCGATGTACACACTTAATTGTTACAGAGACAACTGTGCTTGACACGTATTACATGGCGTTTACAGAGACATCTGTGTTACTCATAGTGTACACTTAATGGTTGCAGAGACATCTGTAGCTGACACATGGTGTACACACATGTAGGTGGTTACTGAAATATCTGTGTGACTCATGGTTTACACACTTAATGGTTACAGAGACATCTGTGTGACTCATGGTGTACATACTAAGCAGTTACAGAGACATTTGTGTGACTCATGATGTACACACTTGGCTTATGGTTACTGAGACATCTGTGTGGTGACTCATGGTGTACACACTTAATGGTTACAGAGACAACTGTGTGACACATGTACACACTTAATGGTTACAGAGACATCTGTGTGACTCATAGTGTACACACTTAATGGTTGCAGAGACATCTGTGTGTGACACACATGAATGGTTAAAAGTACACACATGGTTACTGAAACATCTGTGTGACTCATGAATTGTACACACTTAATGGTTACAGAGACATCTGTGTGACTCATGATGTACACACTTAGTGGTTACAGAGATGTCTGTGTGGCTTATGGTGTACACTTAATGGTTACAAAGACATCTGTGTGACACATGGTGTACACATTTAGTGGTTACTGAAACATCTGTGTGACTCATGGTTTACACACTTAATGGTTACAGAGACATCTGTGTGACTCATGGTGTACACACTTAGCGGTTACAGAGACATCTGTGTGACTCATGGTGTACACACTTAAAGGTCACATGCAATGTAAAACACAACTTTGCAGATTCTGATACCTTTCGGTATGGACTTACCGAAACAAATCGTCAAAAATACAAATTCAACTTATAAAGTTGAAAAATATAGCGATGCAAAAAAGCGTCTTGTCGGAGTTCAAAGCGATTTACTAATTTTCCCTCGACTTTTCGAGGGAAAACTGGTTTCAACAGCTGGGCTGCAAGCTCATAGCCGTCGCGGCGAAGGAAATAGGTTCAGCGCAACTTGGAGGCGGGCTGTCCGGTGAATACTCGGTGAAGGCTTTGGTGTGAGCTATTTTCCTAATGTTTTGTTGATATCTCACGAGTATGAGCTTTTATATGTTATGACAGTAAATACCGAAACTGTTTTATATAATTTCATTTGTCTATTTCACCACCTGCGTTCTTCTTACCAGGAGTCACTTTCTCAGTTCGATGCTTAAAAGCAATGTCATTATTTAGCGTTGACAGAATTTCTAACTGTGATATAGATATATCGTTGTCACAGACAAAACTCAATGTCTTGTTTATTGACACCTGTGTATCTGCCTGCCTGTCTGCTAATGACAATATTCAATACACAACTTCGATCACACTGACCACATGCAATTTGAACTTAACACCAATCAGGCTATACACCATAAAAAGCGCATTGATTTATGACCCGAGTTGAGGCTCAGTCACATTATGTAATTACACAGACAGGCAGGTGTGATACTTGAACACATGACATGTTATGATGTCTGTGATTGCAAAATGTTATACACCAAAAATGAGCATGTATTTACAAAACCCAATATCTCTATATATACACACACAATGAGCTGTGAGGGCATTCTGCAAATGAACCAGCCGTTACACTTGAGTGCACACCCACCCGCTCTGACTGGGTTCGGTATCCCGGCTGCTTCGTTTCTTGGAGGGTAAACCAAAGTACACAATATTGCACTTTTGATTTGCGATTGTACGCTTATAATTTTGTTTATATGTTTTTTCATAACCAGCAATGTATATTATATGTCATGAATAAGTGATAATTGTGTTTTCATTATGTTTGATTTTTTGGTTGCATGTGACCTTTAATGGTTACAGAGACATCAGTGTGACACATGATTTACACACTTAGTGGTTACAGAGACATCTGTGTGACACATGGTGTACACACTTAATGGTTACAGAGACATCTGTGTGACTCATGGTGTACACACTTAATGGTTACAGAGACATCTGTGTAATACATGGTGTACACACTTAATGGTTACTGAGACATCTGTGTGATACATGGTGTACACACTTAATGGTTACTGAGACATCTGTGTGATACATGGTGTACACACTTAATGGTTTCAAAAACATCTGTGTGACACATGGTGTACACACACTTAATGGTTTCAAAGACATCTGTGTGCAGCCACACACATATTGCTGGGTTATATGTGAGACAACTGTTAACTGTTAATATTCACATTTGATCGTGAGTAATGAGTGAAAAAAATTAAAATTACAATCTTTAAATTCTCAATAATTTCTGGTTGTACTCTAGAAAGTTGTGGTCCATGCTGTCCCAATATCGGACCACCTCTTCTTTCAATTCAGCAATATTCCTAAAATTCTCAATAATTTCTGGTCATACTTATATATTTAAATATCTGAGGGGTGCCTTTCCTTATTCCGCCTGGTCTTGTTTCCAGTATAACCCTCTACCACCTGAGCCGATCCCCCAAAACACTCCAAAGTGTCCGTATGGAAATGTGCAGATGGATTTTGTAAGTGGAGTGTGACATACTGTACATAATGTTTGAAGGGAGCTCAACATCATAGATAGCAAATATGTATGTCACTGACATTGGATCAGTCTTTATTGATTGTTTTCATGATTGAAGATTGCTGTGTTTGGTGGTATTCTGCAGGGCTTGTGATTCAGGGGTGTCTTTTTATCTCCCGTATCTTTATGTCCACGCTAAGAGTGTTGTTACAATGTGTACCTTGTTGTACGACCTCTAAAAGTGGTTACAATGTGTACCTTGTTGTACAAGCTTTGAATGTGGTTACAATGTGTACCTTGTTGTACGAGCTCTAAATGTGGTTTACAATGTATCTTGTTGTACAAGCTTTGAATGTTGTTACAATGTGTACCTTGTTGTCACGACCTCTAAAAGTGGTTACAATGTGTACCTTGTTGTACAAGCTTTGAATGTTGTTACAATGTGTACCTTGTTGTCACGAGCTCTAAATGTGGATTTACAATGTGTACCTTGTTATGCGAAGCTCTAAATGTGGTTACAATGTGTACCTTGTTGTCTGAGCTCTAAATGTGGTTACAATGTGTACCTTGTTGTCTGAGCTCTAAATGTGGTTACAATGTGTACCTTGTTGTGAGCTCTAAAAGTGGTTACAATGTGTACCTTGTTTATACGAGGTCTAAATGTGGTTACAATGTGTGTCTTGTTGTACAAACTCTAAATCTGGTTACAATGTGTACCTTGTTATGCAGAGCTCTAAAAGTGGTTACAATGTGTACCTTGTTGTCTACAGAGCTCTAAATGTGGTTACAATGTGTACCTTGTTGTCTGAGCTCTAAATGTGGTTTACAATGTGTACCTTGTTTATCTGAGGCTCTAAAAGTGGATTACAATGTGTACCTTGTTGTCACGAGAGCTCTAAAAGTGGTTACAATGTCGTCTTGTTGTACAAGCTTTGAATGTGGTTTACAATGTGTACCTTGTTGTACAAGCTTTTGAATGTGGTTACAATGTGTGTCTTGTGCTAGCTTCAAATGTGGTTACAATGTGTGTCTTGTTGTACTACAGAGCTCTAAAAGTGGATTACAATGTGTTCCTTGTTGTCACGAGGTTTGAATGTGGTTACAATGTGTGTCTTGTTGTGCAGAGCTTCTATTGTGGTTACAATGTTTGTCTTGTGTACACAAGCTTCAAATGTGGTTACAATGTGTGTCTTGTTGTACAAGCTTCAGATGTGGTTACAATGTGTATCTTGTTACATTTTAAGCTTTGAATGTGGTTACAATGTGTGTCTTGTTGCACAGGAGTTTGAATGTGGTTGCAATGTGTGTCTCTTGTTGTACAAGCTTTGAATGTTGTTACAATGTGTACCTTGTTGTATGCGACCTCTAAAAGTGGTTACAATGTGTACCTTGTTGTACAAGCTTTGAATGTTGTTACAATGTGTACCTTGTTTATCTGAGCTCTAAATGTGGTTACAATGTGTACCTTGTTGTCGAGCTCTAAATGTGGTTACAATGTGTACCTTGTTATGCGGAGGCTCTAAATGTGGTTACAATGTGTGTGTACCTTGTTAATGTGTGCCTTGTTGGAGCTCTAAATGTGGTTACAATGTGTACCTTGTTGTGAGCTCTAAAAGTGGTTACAATGTGTACCTTGTTGCGAGGTCTAAATGTGGTTACAATGTGTGTCTTGTTGTACAAACTCTAAATCTGGTTACAATGTGTACCTTGTTGTACGAGCTCTAAAAGTGGTTACAATGTGTACCTTGTTGTACGAGCTCTAAATGTGGTTACAATGTGTACCTTGTTGTACGAGCTCTAAATGTGGTTACAATGTGTACCTTGTTGTACGAGCTCTAAAAGTGGTTACAATGTGTACCTTGTTGTACGAGCTCTAAAAGTGGTTACAATGTGCGTCTTGTTGTACAAGCTTTGAATGTGGTTACAATGTGTACCTTGTTGTACAAGCTTTGAATGTGGTTACAATGTGTGTCTTGTGCTAGCTTCAAATGTGGTTACAATGTGTGTCTTGTTGTACGAGCTCTAAAAGTGGTTACAATGTGTTCCTTGTTGTACGAGGTTTGAATGTGGTTACAATGTGTGTCTTGTTGTACGAGCTTCTATTGTGGTTACAATGTTTGTCTTGTGTACACAAGCTTCAAATGTGGTTACAATGTGTGTCTTGTTGTACAAGCTTCGAATGTGGTTACAATGTGTATCTTGTTGTGTACACAAGCTTTGAATGTGGTTACAATGTGTGTCTTGTATGAGTTTCGAATGTGGTTTGCAATGTGTGTCTTGTTGTATGAGCTTTGGATGTGGTTGCAATGTGTATCTTGTTGTATGAGCTTTGAATATGGTTACAATGTGTATCTTGTTGTATGAGCTTGAATGTGGTTACAATGTGTGTCTTGTTGTCTGAGCTTGAATGTGGTTACAATGTGTGTCTTGTGCTAGCTTGAGATGTGGTTACAGTGTGTCTTGTTGTGTACATAAGCTTCAACTGTGGTTACAATGGGTGATCAAATGTGGTTACAATGTGTGCCTTGTTGTGCTAGCTTTGAATGTGGTTACAATGTGTGTCTTGTTGTGCTAGCTTTGAATGTGGTTACAATGTGTGTCTTGTGCTAGCTTGAATGTGGTTACAATGTGCATCTTGTTGTGTTAGCTTCAAATGTGGTTACAATGTGTGTCTTGTATGAGGACCCGAATGTGGTTACAATGTGTGTCTTGTATGAAGACTGAATGTGGTTACAATGTGTGCCTTGTATAAGGACCAAATGTGTTTACAATGTGTGTCTTGTATGAGGACCGAGATGTGGTTACAATGTGTGTCTTGTATGAGGGACCGAATGTGGTTACAATTGAGTCTTGTTGTGCTAGCTTTGAATGTGGGTTACAATGTGTGTCTTGTTGTGCTAGCTTTGAATGTGGTTACAATGTGTGTCTTGTGCTAGCTTGAATGTGGTTACAATGTGCATCTTGTTGTGCTAGCTTCAAATGTGGAGTTTACAATGTGTGTCTTGTATGATAACTTGAATGTGGTTACAATGTGTGTCTTGTATGAAGACCAAATGTGGTTACAATGTGTGCCTTGTATAAGGACCAAATGTGTTTACAATGTGTGTCTTGTATGAGGACCGAATGTGGTTACAATGTGTGTCTTGTATGAGGACCGAATGTGGATTTACAATGTGTGTCTTGTATGAGGGACCGAATGTGGTTACAATGTGTGTCTTGTATGAGGACCGAATGTGGTTAGAGTGTGTGTCTTGTATGAGGACCGAATGTGGTTATAGTGTGTGTCTGGTATGAGGACCGAATGTGGTTAGAGTGTGTGTCTTGTATGAGGTCCAAATGTGATTACAAAACTGTATGAATGATCCTTGGTCAGTGTGACATCAAGGCATAAAGTTATGTAAGCCAGAACAAGTACCTTCAATAACACTGACCTCCAGAAGAAGACAGATCTTCAGTAGCTACTTCATGATAAAGATCTGTTCAGAACTCACATAGTTTGCTCTAGCTATACCAAATCAGGTTTTTTACATGTAAATAAATTGTTTAAGGTGTTTAAAAGTTGTTGTTTACATGTTCACAGTGTTTTCTACTTAACTGAAGAAGCAAACCTTCTCATGTGTAACTAGCTGTTCTCTTACCTAAAGCATTAGTTTGTATGTTTGACATGTCTTCAGATGACAACAATTCAAGGATCTCTTCAAACAACAAGCCCTGGTGGACCGATCAAATCTCGTTTTCCTCTCACCATGGAACAGATTAAGTTTGTGAGTGACAATTTGATAGGTGTACCTCTTCAGCATAACCTTTTATTGTCTGTTATAGTTCACCATAATTTGTTTTAGGTTGTGTTGGAAATATTATTATTCCATTGAGCCAGTTAGTAAACTTTGAAATTGCTTTCTATGTCATGGCAAAATTATAAAGTCATTCAAGAAATGAAAAAATGTTCAAACTGATGTAAAAGCAAATTTTTAGTTCCTTAAAATGTTCAACAAAACAAACAAATCCTCTCTATGTTTTAACTGAAAAGTTGCTGAGCACTATGTTAGACTGTTTATGTATAAGGCGTCCTTAATACTGTTTTTGCTTTCATTATTGTCTGCTGAACATATTGCTGTGTCCATTTCCAGTATTATGGTTTCATCCTGTATCATGCGTCTTGAAGAGCAACTTGACACTCCCAACACCACTCGTGACTAGCGGAACAGAGACCGAGGGAGTTACGATCATGGTCAATGAGGTTGGTTAGAAGGTCATTTTATACTGTAGCAGTCTGTATACAGTAAACACCATGTTGTCAGAAGTTATTTTTGCTCTTTCATGCATGACTGGAATAGGTCCCCAGTACCATAAGAACCTTGAAACACTAATGCTTAGCTGTGACATGATTGCCGCGTTACCATCATTGTGTTGATTAAGCTCATATTATTGACCACTGGTTTATGAGGCCCTTAGTCTGGGGATTATCAGGTCCCTGTACATTTATATGCAGGTGCTTGGATGAAGCAATGATAACACTAACATCAGTATACGAACTCTTCACTCAACGTTTAGACACTGGACATGTTTGTACATTGATACAAAGGATACCAAGATCTTCGTGCAACTGTTTATTTTCTGGGTAAATCTCCAGGTACCCATGGGTATCTTTAACCGGGACCTGACATGGCAGGTGAACATCACTGGGGCTGCTGGCCAGTACCTAGACATTCTGGTGGAGAACCAGGGCCGCATAGGATTCAGTACACTCATGAACTACAACCTGAAGGTAGGTGGCACAAGGTTCTAGAACTTCCGTCCAAACATGGACACTGTTGCTCATGTATGACTTTATGTTAAAACTGCTTGATAATAAAACATTTCGAGGAGGAACCATGGCACTTCATTTATTGAAACCATAGTGTTTGATTTATTGGAACCATTGTGTTTGATATATTGGGAACCATTGTGTTTGATTTATTGGAACCATAGTGCTTGATTTATTAGAAGCATTGTGTTTGATATATTGGGAACCATTGTGTTTGATTTATTGGAACCATTGTGTTTGATATATTGGGAACCGTTGTGTTTGATTTATTGGGAACCATTGTGTTTGATTTATTGGAACCATAGTGCTTGATTTATTGGAACCATAGTGCTTGATATTATTGGGAACCATTGTGTTTGATTAATTATGAAACCTGACATTTGATTTATAGGGAAACCTAGCACTTGATGTATGTATTAGAAAACCCAACCAGTGTGCGAAATACTTTCTATATTTTGCTACCCAGTCAGGCTAGCTATGCCTGAAAGTTACTAGCCAACAAAATAATTCACTAGCCCAAAATTTGAATGTGGACAAGGGTTTTCATCATTAAGTTGCTAATATGATGAACATTTTTATCAGGCCATAATCTTAAATGATTTAAAATTGAATTATAACTTAACAAGTCTGAGGGAGTGATATATGTACAAAATGACCTCATGAAATTCTCAAATTCACCTAGCCAGTTGGGCCAGTGACTGGAGGTTTGCTGGCCCAACTGGATTATTCATGGTGCTTGAATATTGAACAGACACTTGATGTATTGGGGAAACCCTGACACTTGATGTATTTGGTGCTTGAACCCAACACTTGATGTATTGGGAACCATGGTGCTTGAATATTGGAACAGTCACACTTGATGTATTGGGAAACCTGACACTTGATGTATTGGGAATCATGGTGCTTAAATATTAGAACAGTCACACTTGATGTATTGGGAAACCTGACACTTGATGTATTGGGAATCATGGTGCTTGAATATTGGAACAGTCACACTTGATGTATTGGTAAACCTGACCCTTGATGTATTGGGAACCATGGTGCTTGAATATTGGAACAGTCACACTTGATGTATTGGGAAACCCTGACACTTGATGTATTGGGAACCATGGTGCTTGAATAATGGAACAGTCACACTTGATGTTTTGGGAAACCTGACACTTGATGTATTGGGAACCATGGTGCTTGAATATTGGAACAGTCACACTTGATGTTTTGGAAACCTGACACTTGATGTATTGGGAACCATGGTGCTTGAATAATGGAACAGTCACACTTGATGTATTGGGAAACCCTGACACTTGATGTATTGGGAATCATGGTGCTTGAATATTGGAACAGTCACACTTGATGTATTGGTAAACCCTGACACTTGATGTATTGGGAACCATGGTGCTTGAATATTGGAACAGTCACACTTGATGTTTTGGGAAACCCTGACACTTGATGTATTGGGAACCATGGTGCTTGAATAATGGAACAGTCACACTTGATGTATTGGTAAACCTGACACTTGATGTATTGGGAACCATGGTGCTTGAATATTGGAACAGTCACACTTGATGTATTGGTAAACCTGACACTTGATGTATTGGGAACCATGGTGCTTGAATAATGGAACAGTCACACTTGATGTTTTGGGAAACCTGACACTTGATGTATTGGGAACCATGGTGCTTGAATATTGGAACAGTCACACTTGATGTTTTGGGGAAACCCTGACACTTGATGTATTGGGAACCATGGTGCTTGAATAATGGAACAGTCACACTTGATGTATTGGGAAACCTGACACTTGATGTATTGGGAATCATGGTGCTTGAATATTGGAACAGTCACACTTGATGTATTAGTAAACCCTGACACTTGATGTATTGGGAACCATGGTGCTTGAATATTGGAACAGTCACACTTGATGTTTTGGGAAACCTGACACTTGATGTATTGGGAACCATGGTGCTTGAATAATGGAACAGTCACACTTGATGTTTTGGGAAACCTGACACTTGATGTATTGGGAACCATGGTGCTTGAATATTGGAACAGTCACACTTGATGTATTGGAAAAACCTCACACTTGATGTATTTGGAGTGGTGAAGAAAATTGAACTTGCAGAGAGGGCCAAGCTTGCACAGCTTGACTTTGGAGGTGGACCACCATGTAGGAAGACAGCGTATCGGGAGATAGACAGTAGGATTGTCAGACTGAAAGATCAGCGTCGTCAGTTCCAAGATACCGTCGGCAACCTCATTTGACTTGCATAGTGACTGAATGTTTTTCATGTGATGATAAACTTTAAAACACTCATGTGCTATTTATGACTTTATTAATGTGATTAACAGTTTTTTTCAAGGATTATTTACTTATCAATTTTATACAGATTATAATTGTTTTAATGTCTTTCTGACATCATCAATAAATAATTAAAATGATTATTTTATGTTATTTCATCATTCTGCATGGATTAGTCAATTATCTATCCTATGTAACAGGTAATTACTGAACTATGCATTCAGCTGAAAAGTTTGTTGTTTTAAGCTGTCTAACAACTGGCTGTCTAACAGATGGGAGGACACCAGGTCTGTGACACGTGATAAATTGCCCCTCACAAATTAAAAAAATGGAGCTTTGACTTTTGGTATATTGTAACTTGTGACCTCTATCATTTTGGTCGGATTTTCAAAATGTTGATTATTTGCAGGAATTATTTTTGTTGATAATTTCAAAATGTTCCATTTAGTATGTTTGCATCATTTACAGGGCCTGACGAAAAATGTAACCTTGAATGGAAGCATTTTGGAAGACTGGGAGGTTTACCCAATAACACTTGAGAATATTCGTACTCCTGCCCACTTTACCAGACAGTACAGGTGAGGGAGTGTTATACCATAGGCATGGGGGATGCATTTCAGTATCAAGATCAAGATAAGCCATGGCACATGGTATTTCATCAATGGAGACAGTAGGTGTTGTGTGCACTCTGTATTAGTGAGGGTTAGCATTTCCACTGTGGGCAAAGTGAAGACATTCCACTGCAGCCATGCACTGCTCAGCACACGGGGCGTTAGCTCCAAGTCAGTTTTATTTCTGAAACTGTGAGTTTATTGTATAACTAGTGTAACCATGGTAACTTCATTGTAAAATTCTAGGGCTGGTCCCAAGAAATCAGCGTCAGGTGACCTAGAGACTCCCTCCATCTACATGGGTAAAATACCAGTGCCCAACATGGCGGTATGCCACAAGACTCCTACCTGGACATGAGGCCTTGGCATAAGGTGAGTTAGTGCTTCATTGTCTCACAGGAACAGGCTGCTCAGGTACACTGTAGCGCCATAGAAGTTTCTACACAGAATAATGGTAACAAATAGAAAGCTAAAAAGTTCTATTGGTGTACTACATTTAGTGGATACTGTAGGGACAACAGAGGTTGTGCTCTGCCACTTGGTTTAGATATATTATCTAGGTCTGTGAATTATTATGAATCATATTATGGAGGACGTTAAACATGTGTCTTTGCAGACAATGTAGGTTTTAAACCAATCATACCATTAGGCTCTTTTAACAGAAAATTATGATGTTAGTTAAAACAGTTAAAACAATGTGTGAAGCCCATTTCTGGTGGCCCCCATGCCCTGATATTACTGGAATATTGCTAAAAGCGGCATAAAACGGAACTGAAGAATGTGCTACATACATACACGATGCCGCATGCGACTTGCATGCACGCTTGCATCTACCTGCATCTTGCACGCACACACACACACACACACACACATCTCTCTCTCTCTGATCCCCCTGGTCCAGATTTCAAAGTCTTCTTCCCTCGAATAAGAACACCCTAATTTGTTCAGAGATTCAAATCTTATTTTCAATATGGCTGCCGCTGCAGTCATGATGGAAACCTATTTACAGCCATTTGTTTGTATGTAATGTATGTTCCTTATCATGCTTATGTCTTCAGAGTTGCTACAACTGTTGTCGGTACATGTCCCCTACAGCTAGTGGGTCGAGAGTGGGTTCAAAACAGGAGTTGCATGTCATCTTGAGCTGTTTTGTTACCCCACTGGATGTTGCCTGTTCATTCAGTTCACAAATTGTTTTGGTTCACAGGGTCAAGCTTTGGTAAATGGCTTCAATCTGGGACGCTACTGGCCAGTTGAAGGGCCACAGGTTACACTGTACGTCCCGAAACCTGAGCTGGTGGCGCCCCCAGGGACTAACTCCCTTATTATGCTGGAACTGGAAAGTACTGGATGTCAGGCAAACAGCAGCTGCACCATCAAGTTTGTAGACAGCCCGTTTATCAATGAGACACCAAAGGGATCCACCTTGTCATCACGTGTGGTTCGGGAAAATTTTGACTGGCACAAGTTTCATTAAGGCAACATTGTCAGCTGGTGTTACAATGTGTATGATGTTTGCCATCATGTTTGTATCACACTGTTACAGTTTGATATGCAATAACATTCCACTTACTTGCCTTTTAAAAAGTAGGGATTTTGTATCAGGTTCTTTTTAACTTTAAATGTGTTAAATATTCTCATAATATTTTGCTATCCTTCTATATTGACCTCAAGAAACCAGAGACAATATACTTTATTGTTCAGCAAGATTATTTTACACTTTATATTATATATGGAATTGCAAGTTGACAAGGCAGTGTAAACTATAATGTTTACAATGTATTTTTACATACATAATTGAGTGACTAGTCAAACTCAAGTGACACTGTTAGGGAGATGTGACTCACATTGCTCGTTAGTCTTTTAAAACTCCTGGTATTTAGGCCACTGTTACTGTGATATTTCTCTGCAGTATGTGATGAGCATCACTGATGTCAGTCAATGTCAAGACTCACTGGTACCATATGATGTGATGACGATAGCCTCTGTAGTATTACCATGATGAAAGAAGATAGTGAATATATTTATTGTGTTTATTTTTCATGATTGTTTGTGTGTTGATGCTGTGATTAAAGCCATAAATCTCACTGCATTCTGTCAATTTTCCAAAGAAATTGTTGCTGTTCTAGATTTGTTTTTGTGGCAGCAGTTGTGTTGCTTACCACCCACATAGGTGAAGGCACCGCCTCCGTGGTGTAATAGTGGTTAGGCGTCATTCCGAGAGCCGGAAGGTCGCAGGTTCGATCCCCGACTGCGTCATACCAAAAGACTTTAAAATATGGTACTTGTTGGTCCCTGTCTGGCGCTCGGCATTAATGGGTACAACAAGGACTGGTCGGCTCGGAGTCAGTATAATGTGTCTGAGTGGGGTATTCATGCTTCACTGCGGCATGGTATTTCAATGGGCTAGCACTATAAAACCAGCTTCAGTCTGGGCTAGTACAAGCAGCCGCACATACACATACACACGCATGCACGTCGTCATATGAGCGAAATATTCTCAAGTACGACGTTAAACCCAATTTCACCTCACCTCACCTCACATAGGTGATCTATTCATTACCGACTGAGGAATGACGGAGCAGTGCCCTTGTGTCAGCAGTGTTCTGGCTATGGCAGGTCAGCCTGTAGATATTCACACCTGGAGCAGATAAGCCAGTGAGGTAATCATCCATGTCATTACCAGTTGAGGAATGAGAGAGCAGTGCCCTTGTGTCAGCAGTGTTCTGGCTACAGCAGGTCAGCTTGTAGATATTCACACCTGGAGCAGATAAGTCAGTGAGGTAATCATCCATGTCATTACCAGTTGAGGAATGAGAGCAGTGCCCTTGTGTCAGCAGTGTTCTGTCTACGGCAGGTCAGCTTGTAGATATTCACACCTTGAGCAGATAAGTCAGTGAAGTAATCATCCATGTCATTACCAGTTGAGGAATGAGAGCAGTGCCCTTGTGTCAGCAGTGTTCTGGCTACGGCAGGTCAGCTTGTAGATATTCACACCTGGAGCAGATAAGTCAGTGAGGTAATCATCCATGTGATTACCAGCTGAGGAATGAGAGAGCAGTGCCCTTGTGCCAGCAGTGTTCTGGCTACGGCAGGTCAGCCTGTAGATATTCACACCTGGAGCAGATAAGCCAGTGAGGTAATCATCCATGTGATTACCAGCTGAGGAATGAGAGAGCAGTGCCCCTTGTGTCAGCAGTGTTCTGGCTACTGCAGGTCAGCCTATAGATAATCACACCTGGAGCAGATAAGTCAGTGAGGTAATCATCCATGTCATTACCGACTGAGGAAGAGAGAGCAGTGCCCTTGTGTCAGCAGTGTTCTGGCTACTGCAGGTCAGCCTATAGATAATCACACCTGGAGCAGATAAGTCAGTGAGGTAATCATCCATGTCATTACCGACTGAGGAAGAGAGAGCAGTGCCCCTTGTGTCAGCAGTGTTCTGGCTACGGCAGGTCAGCCTGTAGATAATCACACCTTTGAGCAGATAAGCCAGTGAGGTAATCATCCATGTCATTGGGTTTGATAACATAAGCCAAGTTAGTGACCACCCAGTATTTCCTCATTTAGGTCAAACCTGAAGCATGGGATACTAGTGTCCAGTCGTGTCCTACATCTGCATAGGGTCTTATATACAGCTAATGACAGTCTGCTGTCTGGAGAATTAGATGTTATGCTGAACTGTTGTATAAAGATCTAACTTCAGCCCCGCTTCTTGTTCTTATTTGTAGACATTACTTAGCCGTGCCTTTGAATTTGACTATTCCTGAAGTTAATAATTCAGAGAAAGCAAAAAAGAAAGAACAAACCTTTGAACGTGTCAATTTTATACCAATATGTCAATCCTGTAGGCCAAAGAAGGACTCATTGCTCTACATCAGTCTTTGATAGAAAGGGATTACATTAAAGGTCACCTGATAATAACTTATTTTTGGCTCAGGGTGGAATTTCCTGTAACTTTTTCATTTTAGGTCAATTTCATCTTGTAAACATGAAATACCATTGAAATTACATGAAATAATTGCTTTTAAACTAACGCAATACATTCTTCTAAAACTGGCTTATGTGTTTCCTTTTTTGAAGTGTGTATCTATTTGGCACAATGAGCTGTCATTTTCCAAATAAGGCCGAGAAGAGTTTAGTCACAGCCTTCAGCCTTCTAACTTCTGTGGATTCTGATGATATCCTGTTTCTAATGTAAAACACTCATTATGCCCCAGCTGGGAACACAATGGTCTTCAAGCACTCCGCCGTAAACCTGAACAAGGAGCTTTTCATCGCAACATTAAACTACCACCAATAATAATATTTACCAGACGTCATTAATAAAGGGTCAAATGATACATAGCACATGTAAAGAATCGTTTCTCAGAAGTAATACAACTCATACTGTCATCACAATGTTTAATGTGTTGACAAACGTGACAGATCGTGACATACAGACAAAAAGTTCAAACAGCACTAGCAAACATCAGTTGTATAGACTGACCCCCAATAGACTGAAAATGCCAAACATGAAGGACTCGGTCATTCATTGTCTTGTGTACCCCCCTCGCGCGTCCAAGACACAGGTGCTCCTTGTTTTCGTGCTCCTTATCAACTTCATAAAGAAATCTTGCGGAATCGCATTCCATTCCTCTACTAGAGTTCTGCGGAGTCCTGGGAGATCTGCTGGTGCTGGGTGATGTGTGTACACACGTCGACCGAGTTCATCCCAGGCATGCTCAATTGGGTTGAAGTCTGGCGAGTATGCTGGCGGCTCCATCCGCTCTACGCCCTGCTGCCTAAGGAATTCCGTGACAATCCTGGCCCTATGGGGCCTAGCGTTTTGCGGTAAAGAGGGTCGACCATAAAAGTCTCTCATGCTTTCTAGGAATGGCACTGCTGTAGGAGCCAGAATCTCGTAACGATAACGCTGTCTGGTAAGATTACCGTCGGCCACGTGCAGTGGAGTACGTCCAGTAGCAGTTATCCCTACCCAGACCAAATCGGTTGTGCGTGGCCACAGTTGCATCTGTGATTCGCTCTATATTGCGACAATAAATCCTCTGCCGACCATCATGGAAGGGCAAACTGAATCTGCTTTCATCAGTGAAGAGCACACGAAACCTGTGGCGTTGATTCCAGCAACCATGATGTCTACTCCATCTCAAACGCGCCTGCCTGTGACGTGGTGTTAGTGGTGAACGAACTGCAGGTAGCCTACAGCGGAGTCCTGCTGCCCTTAAAGGTCGATGAACGGTGCTCCTGGATATCTTTACATTGTTAACATTGAAGTGTTCTGTCAGAAGATCTGCTGCGTTGAGGAATCTTTTACGTAACGCAGTGTTAATCATGCGCCTATCATCTCGGACTGTTGTGACTCTGGGGAGACTCACATTAAAGCGTACAGCAACCTGCCGCTAAGCTTGACCAGATTCGAAAAGGCTTATAGCCTGACCCCTTTCAGCAAGTGTCAAAAACGTCTAATTTTAAGCTGCGATTTCAAACAGGTACCCGAACAGTGAACGACAGTGAAAAAGCATCAATGCATGTGTATTGTCCTCCACTTTCCATGGTTAGAGCGACTTGCACGTACAAATCATTGACATTAAGTGGCGGGTGGATTTCGATATTAGCAAATTGACTAAAAAAATGTGTCATTTGTAACAGATTGTATCGGACGTTAAAGAACGTAATAATGACATTTCGACGGCCTGATGTGTTTTTCCATACTGTTAAGAAAGTTTGTGAAACATTCAGTTGTATATATTTCAAACATAAACCAAGATGTACAACTTTAAGAAATAGTGTTACCAATAACGTGACCCTTCATTAATGACGCCGAGTATGAGGTACAGTTTAAAGCAGTATGAAACCCAACTTTATGCTTGTCTGCACTTGCACTACATGAAGCAGGTGTGGATGATCTTTCATGATCAATATTTAATCCCTCTCAAGTAGCATGTTGAGGAGTCAATAGTTTTCATTGTTCAGTTTGCACACTTGTCGACAAAGACAGCTGTTGCTTTCCAGTAGTAGTCAGTATGACCCTGTGTGTAAAGGCACAGACGCCATGAAGTTTCTACGGATATTCCTCGTTATAATATTGTTTCTTACTATGGGATTGCTGTCTGTTTATTACCATCGTGTTGGTCATGTTCCTTTGATGAAAACAGTTGTCACGGGAAACTGGTTATCTAACATCCTGTATGGTAATGATAGTGCCGCTCTTACCAATGCTACATTGCCAGAGAAAGGGAGTTACTCTGGGACTATTGAGAGGAAAGACAGTTATGATAGTGTTGTTGAAGATGATAACGTGGATGACAGTCCACTAAGAAAGGTCACAGGCGATGACAGTCCAACTAAAGAGGCCACAGGTGGTGAAAGGCGCAAACAGGCCCCGAGGACAGTGAAAAGAAAGGACGGAGTCGATGACGGACATGATAGGAATGTCAATATTTCACACACAGAAGATAGGAATGTTGTACTCCGACACGTGTTCCATGGCAATGATGGCCAAGGTTGGTGGTTGAAATTTGTTTTCTTTATGTTACCAGAAGATGGAAGTTATACATAACGATTACCAAAATGTCCTGGCGACCCTAACCAAGATTTGAAACCGATACACATATATAGACGAGCCCCTTCAATCACGTAATTAATGCTCCAGGATGACACAAACATTGGAGCACAGGAATCTATACCTCTTAGGGTAGTTACTGATATGTATAATTTCAACGAAAATACCTCGGGTTAGCGCTTGACGTGCACTCATTTAACAACACGTAAAACCTTCAAGACTTACAGGATCTTTGAAGGTCGTATAAACATGTTTATAGCACAGTTCTGTAACAGTTTACATGGTTGGGTTCTTGTGGTTGCAAAATCTCCCCAGTCCCCTTTGAGCCAATTCTTTTTTACGCCAAAAATGACCCCAGACCACCATGTACAAAGTGTTGCAGAAGTGAGTGATGAATATAAAATAGACCTGTTGTTTACAGATACAACAAATCTGGTATACTTTCCTTTGCACCTCAGGTTAGGTGTCTGGTTCCTAATGTACGTTAAAACCCCCAGTGTATAGTGGATCAGGTAGAAACACTGTTACCTGATGATCAATGTCTGTACCCTGATGACCAATGTCTGTACCCTGATGACCAATGTCTGTACCCTGATGACCAATGTCTGTACCCTGATGACCAATGTCTGTACCCTGATGACCAATGTCTGTTCCTGGTTTGTCTGCTCCAGACTCAACAAATTACACACTGACTTGAAATAATGTTTGAAGGTTTGGGAAAAATCATATCGTTTGTAATAATAAGGAACAATCGAAGGAATTAGCAGATATGACTTGTTTCAAAATAACATGTCCCATTCCACAGGTCACGGAGGAGTGGGAGTACGTGAAGGGAGGCTGACTAAGCCTCAGCTTGAGCGGTATCACCTTGGAAAGCGCACTCACCGATTTAACGAATATGTCAGCGACCTAATTTCTGTAGACAGGGAACTTCCTGATTACAGACACACACAGTAGGTAACACATAAACAATGCATCATCTTGTCCTCTTATCGTATGGCTGACTCAAACCTGATCACAGAACTAAGATTGAGTACATATGTTGGTGAGGGAAGGTAATAAGTTAACACTCATGTAAGCATGTTCATGAAGTCACAACATTATTCTACAGATTTCAGTCATCTAAATTTCCAGGCTGCTATATCGAAGACACATCCTTAAATATAAACTCACTCATTCACAGATTTTCCAAGAAAATTTAAGATCAGTCATGGTTGTCTGAATCAGGATTCAATGCGAAATTTGTTCTATTTTATGATATTATTCTTACTGCTAACTGAAATGTTCAAATGTATACCACACACAAGTTAATGTTCACCACAATTACACAGAGACCGTGTCTTAATCTCACATGTAGTACAAAGTAAAATTGGTAGACCAAGACTGAAAATAGAGTATGTCCCTCTTCAGTACTTGGGCGATCACTGTATGTGCACTAATGCTGTACCTTGGCCCCTCTTCAGGTGCCAGGACAAGGACTACGGTGACCAGCTGCCAGACACTAGTGTCATCATTTGCTTCTACAACGAGGCGTGGTCAACCCTCTTGCGGAGTGTGCACTCGGTCAATAATACATCGCCGCCAGAACTTCTGGGGAGATAATTCTGGTCGATGATTTTTCTGATTTAGGTGCGTTTTATTTTGTTTCTGATGAAATATGATGCGATAACATGAATGTACGATATGATAACATGAATGTACGATACGATAACATGAATGTACGATACGATAACATGAATGTACGATACGATAACATGAATGTACGATACGATAACATGAATGTACGATATGATAACATGAATGTACGATGACAGCAATAATATTTACGACTGTTTCAAATTGCATACACACTGCGCTTAGACGCTGATTTTTCCATTGTTAATATATGGGAATAAGCGCTTTGAGCGCTTTATGGAACGGGACCCATGTCTTTCCAGACTACTGTATCTATAAGGAAACATAACTGTTTCGCGGGAATAATTCAACTCAAACACCAGCACTGGTTTGTTGAGGTCCATGCCACCATCGTTTACGGGGCCTCACCACGTCCCCATGGAACTGCTGTTACCTAATGTTTGTTGGGACTCACCACGTCCCCATGGAGCTGCTGTTACTTAATGCTTGTTGGGACTCACCACGTCCCCATGGAGCTGCTTTACTTAATGCTTGTTGGGACTCACCACGTCCCCATGGAGCTGCTGTTACTTAATGCTTGTTGGGACTCACCACGTCCCCATGGAGCTGCTGTTACTTAATGCTTGTTGGGACTCACCACGTCCCCATGGAGCTGCTGTTACTTAATGCTTGTTGGGACTCACCACGTCCCCATGGAGCTGCTGTTACTTAATGCTTGTTGGGACTCACCACGTTCCCACGGAGTTGCTGTTACTTAATATTTATTGGGACTGAGTGAGTGAGTGAGTTAATATTTAACGTCACATCGGCAATATCTCAGCCATATAGTGACGAAAACAATTTATACAATAAATAGTGAAAATACTTTGAAGATTAAAACCTGTCAACGATGGACAGTAAAAATACTAGAGAATCACAGATATGAATATAAAACTAGCGAGCAAAGCTAAAACATTCCAATTAAAGAAGACAATACAGTATAAAACATGAGCTATAGATCGCCAACAACTGAAGGTAGATCACCATACTAGGAACCATGGGGACTTACATTACTTTGGCTACCTGCATGGATCCTAGCTGGAATTACACCATCCCTTCAGCCGCTGGCGATTGTAGGAAAATTTAGCCAACAGTTAAAATAACAAAAATACTACGTTTAAAATGTGATAATTTATATTTTACTTTGAAAGTTTTGGGACTTACGTACCCTCTTATTGGGACTGACTACGTCGCCACTGAGTAACTGTTACGTAATGTTTGTTGGGGTTCACCTTGTCATCGGAAGGGGGGAGCAGTGCCTGATGGCTGGTTTAAATTTGTTCCCGTTCAAATCAACAACGAGGAGAGTTCTATGGATATACAACTTCTTTATTATTAATATCAGCGACGTTTCGTTGCATTTAATAACACTGTTATCAAGCAAGTTGTTGTATATCCATAAAACTATCGCCGTTGTTCATTACACCAACTTCTAAATACCGCTCAAAGAAAGTGTTCACATCGTCACCAAGCAGTGCCTGATAGCTGGTGTTTGTTGGTGTCTAACCTGTCACCAAGCAGTGCCTGATGGCTGGTGTTTATTGGTGTACATATCGTCACCAAGCAGTGCCTGATGGCTAGTGTTTGTTGGTGTCTAACCTGTCACCAAGCAGTGCCTGATGGCTGGTGTTTATTGGTGTACATATCGTCACCAAGCAGTGCCTGATGGCTGGTGTTTGTTGGTGTCTAACCTGTCACCAAGCAGTGCCTGATGGCTGGTGTTTATTGGTGTAGATATCGTCACCAAGCAGTGCCTGATAGCTGGCATTTGTTGGTGTCTAACCTGTCACCAAGCAGTGCCTGATGGTTGGTGTTTATTGGTGTACATATCGTCACCAAGCAGTGCCTGATGGCTGGTGTTTATTGGTGTACATATCGTCACCAAGCAGTGCCTGATGGCTAGTGTTTGTTGGTGTCTAACCTGTCACCAAGCAGTGCCTGATGGCAGATGTTTATTGGTGTACATATCGTCACCAAGCAGTGCCTGATGGCTGATGTTTGTTGGTGTCTAACCTGTCACCAAGCAGTGCCTGATGGCAGATGTTTATTGGTGTCTCACCTGCCACCAAGCAGTTCCTGATGGCAGATGTTTGTTGCTGTCTACTTTGTCACCAAGCAGTTCCTGATGGTTGGTGTTTGTTGATGTCTAACCTGCCACGAAACAGTGCCTGGTGGCTGGTGTTTGTTTGTGTTTAACCTGTCACCAACCAGTGCCTGATGGTTGGTGTTTGTTGGTGTCTAACCTTTCACCCAGCAGTTCCTGATGGTTGGTGTTTGTTGGTTTCTAACCTGCCACCAAGCAGTTTCTGTTGGTTGGTGTCTGTTGGTGTCTAACCTGTCACCAAGCAGTGCCTGATGGCTGGTGTTTATTGGTGTCTAACCTGTCACCAAGCAGTGCCCGATTGTTGGTGTGTATTGGAGTCACCAAACAGTGCTCGATGGCTAGTGTTTGTTAATGTCTAACCTGTCACCAAACATTTTCCGATGGCTGGTGTTTGTTGGTGTTTAACATGTCACCAAGCAGTGCATGATGGCTGGTGTGTATTGGTGTCTAACCTGTCACCAAGCATTGTCCGATTGCTGGTGTTTGTTGGTGTCTAACCTTCCAGAAAGCAGTGGTTGATGGTTGGTGTTTCTTGGTGTCTAACCTGTCACCAAGCAGTGCCTGATGGTTGGTGTTTGTTGGTGTCTAACCTGCCACTAAGCAGTGCCTGATCGTTGGTGTTTTTTGGTGTCTAATCTGCTACAAAGGAGTGCCTGATGGATGGTGTTTGTTCGTCTCTAATCAGTCACCAAGTAGTGCCTGATAGGTTGTGTTTTGTTGGTGTCTAAGCTGTCACCAAGCAGTGCCTGATGGTTAGTGTTTGTTAGTGTCTAACCTGTCACCAAGCAGTTCCTGATGGTTGGGGTTTGTTGGTTTCTAACCTGTTACCAAGCAGTGCCTAATGGTTGGTGTTCGTTGGTGTCTAACCTGCCACCAAGCAGTTCCTGATGGCTGGTGTTTTTTGGTGTCTAACCTGCCACAAAGGAGTGCCTGATGGATGGTGTTTGTTCGTGTTTAACCTGTCACCAAGCAGTGCCTGGTGGCTGGTATTAGTTCGTGTCTAACCTGTCACCAAGCAGTGCCTTAATGGCTGATGTTTGTTGGTGTCTAACCTGTCACCAAGCTGTGCTTGGTGGTTGGTGTTTCTTGGTGTCTAACCTGCCACCAAGCAGTGCCTGATGGCTGATGTTTCTTGGTGTATAACCTGTTACCAAGCAGTGCCTGATGGCTAGTGTTTGTTGCTCTCTAACCTGTCACCAAGCAGTGCCTGATGACAGATGTTTGTTGGTGTCTAACCTGTCACCTAGCAGTGCCTGATGACTGGTGTTTGTTGGTGTCTATCCAGTTACCAAGCAGTACCTGATGGTTGGTGTCTGTTGGTGTCTAACCTGTCACCAAGCAGTGTTTGATGGCTGGTGTTTGTTGGTGTCTAACCTGCCACCAAGCAGTGCCTGATGGTTGGTGTTTGTTGGTGTCTAACCTGCCACCAAGCAGTGTGGTCTAGAAGCCAGACCCCCCAAATGGTGAAAATGTGGTGCAGTTCTGGCGACCAAACGGGATGTGATTTTTCACAATCAGGAATGATTAAGCTTTGATTTAAAGCCGGTTGTCATCAGCTACCGTGCGTGACTACCGTACAGAGGCCCTGTTAAGGTGCAACATGTCATGTCAGTTATGGCAATATTTTAACCGATAACTGGGTGGTTTAATTTAATAACTTTGTTTTGGAGTGACCGATTTTCATCAAAATAGTAGTTTTGGAATGCTCAGAACATGATTGAAAATTGTGGACAATAATATTACATATATGTTCATCGCAAAAATATTTTGGTAAGGTCAAAGGTCAATTTTAATAGAAAGGGCATTTGATGAGAAAATATGAGTTGAACTTTACAAATCAAAGGTAATTGTTTCCAAAATTATGTTTTCTAATTCAGCTATATCATTTGAAGATCATATATACCTTTGGTTTGCTCTGTATGCATGAAAAAACCATTACAAGGAAACAAAAGTTGGTACTTTGTATCTAGATCAGCAAAATATTATTATATAATGTCTGTTCAACAGTAACAGCTCCATGCTTTGCATAGTCAACGATACCAAATATGTCGATGATACTGTCGGACTATCTCTAAAACCACACAACATAACAGAAAGCTCTTAAATGTAAAATTCTATTATTCCAGATGTCTTTCTTTGCTCATCAAAGAATGATGAGTCAGCCATGTCATCATAACTCAAGCAATATTTCCTTCATATCAATTCGTGTCTATTGTTCCTAATAGTCATAGTGTATTCCTAGTTGACATGGTAGCCAATGTCAACAATGTCAAGATCATGGGAACATGTTTCAAGTCCACATCCACATGCCGAAGTACACAACAGGTTCAACCTCTTTGACACCTCCTGTACATTGACTTTTACATGCACAGTTATGAAGTTGAAGAAGGTCCACGGAAACCATTTAGTCTTAACTTATTTGAAACTTTATCAATTTTACAAATTTAAGGTAATTTTACCAAAATTATGTTTTTATAATTCAGCTATATCATTTGAAGATCATACATATCTTTGGTTGGCACTGCATGCATGAAACACAACAATTCAACTGATGTCAGAAGGAGATATGTTTTGATAAGTGTCAATATTGTTTATATATGTGTCACTTCACGCTCCAGCTGCAATGACATGCCGTGAAACCCTTACAGTTGATGGATAATAGTATGACATCCTAATGGAAGGTTTACAATTGACATTATGGTGTTCCATTTTTTCTGTTTACAATGTGAAATATTACGACTTTGGCTTTCTTTCTTTATTTTACACTGGCAATCATTGATACATTGTAAAAGATATGACACACTCATCAGAAAGGCGTTATGGTATCTTACCACCAAATGTACACACAGTC